AAATTTTTGAAAGCTCAGTGGTCTCTTCTGTTCAAGGACTACCCAATAGTTTCGCTTTCAAAAGTTTTTCTTTCTCCGGTTTCTTCCCCGCCATCTTTTTGGATTTGTTTACTTATCACAAAGTTGCTAAAGTCTCTGATATTCGCCCAAATGCTTATCTGCACTCTGGTAAGTCTCTGAAAACAGTTTCAAATGCTTATTTTTCTGCTCCCTCCTCTTTATTCCGTGTTTTCATTTATGCATTTGGGAGGGGCCCCTCCCCCACTCTCTTCCCGTCGCTCTTTATGGGGGGCAGATTTCTATTTAAATCTTCATGTTCGCTTCAACCTGAGTCACAGTTCATTGTTGGCCAACCGGCCTTGCTCAGCATCAGTTTCTTTCTGATGGGCTACTGTCCTGATCCAACATGGCTGTTCTTATGGGTACCACAATTTAGGAAGGATATAGACAAGCTGGAATGTGTCCAGAGGAGGGTGATGAAGATGGTGAGGGGTCTGGAGACCAAGTCCTATGAGGAAAGGCTGAAGGAGTTGGGTATGTTTAGCCTGGAGAGGAGACGACTCAGAGGTGATATGATCACCATCTTCAAGTCCTTGAAGGGCTGTCATATAGATGATGGTATGGTGCTGTTTTCTGTTGCCCCAGAAGGTAGGACCAGAACCAATGGGTTGAAATTAAATCAGATGGGTTTTCGGCTAAACATTAGGAAGAATGTCCTGACAATTAGATTGGTTCCTCAGTGGAACAGGCTTCTTTGGGAGGTGGTGGGTTCTCCTTCTGTGGAGGTTTTCTTTTTATTATTATTTATAAGTTTTGCATATACATTGTATCATAAAACCATTTCTCATACATTTTGAGTCTGTCTAATTCATTATCTATCCATTTATACACTCTGGACCATCTTTTCAGATACATGCCTTCATCCTTTCCTTGTATTAACATGCTCAGCCTATCCATTTCCACTAGATCCAATAGTTCATTTATTATCTCCTCTTTGGAGGGGGTTTTTTCGGTTTTCCAGTATTAGGCAAACAATATCTTTGGAGGGAGTTTTTTCTGTTTTCCAGTATTTAGCCAACAATATTCTAGCAGATGTTAATATATAGACCAATGGTATACACCATTATATTCATAACCTTCAGGGATTATATTTAATAAATACCTAGGTTTCTGGAGTTAACGTTAAGTTTACATTTACAATTTCTAAGCAAAACCAGCCATGGATGCAGATCAGCCCCTTTGCAACAGGAAGCCACACCCATGCTGCCTGATTTAAGGCTTTGCATGAAACAGTCAGCCAGAATGCAGACTGCATCCCTCATTTGTGGGTGGTAGCGAAAGCTGCTTTAAAAAAAGTTTTTTGAGGATCTGTTTACTCAGTATATATCTGCAAATTTTGATGTGTGATATATCTGCCTGTGTTACAGCACTGCAGGCCTAGACGTTCGCTTGGGTTTTGAACTCTGTCCTGAAGAGCAGGAATTCCTGCAAAAACGGAAGAAAGTTGCTGCTGCAGCTTTGAAAAGAGTTCTTCATCTAGAGGAAGATCTGCAAGATGATGAGGTGAGAGAATAAGAATATCTTTCTGTCTTGCATGTTTTTGTCCTGCTTCTCATCCAAGGCATTCATGTGGGTGTATGTGGTTCTCTTCTCCCCTCCTCATTTTTATCATATCATTACAATGGTCTTATGAGTTGGGATGTGATGAGAATGAGCAACTGGCCAAGGTCACCACAAGGTCTTCATTGCAGAGTAGAAATCTGAACCTGGTTACTGTTGCCTAGTCTCCAGCCTAGGAAGCTGCCGCACTTCATGGAATGGTCTTCCCTATTGTTTCAAGCTCCTCTCCATAATAAGTATGTTATGCCTTGGTACTCTACAGAATCAAGGCTTTGTTCTCTGTGGTGAGGTGAGGTGAGCTCCATATGACTGCAGTGTGAACCAACAGGCAATCATTAACCAGTGTGTCTGCATTTGTACATGACAGCTATGAGCAGCTGATTTTTCACCCTTCCTTTTCTTGTTGCTCGTATCTTGTCCTGACTTGTTAATACAAATTTTTCACCCTTCCTTTTCTTGTTGCTCGTATCTTGTCCTGACTTGTTAATACAAATTTGTCAATACAAATGTTTTACTTGTGTGTGTGTGTTTGTTTGTTAAACAGGTACCAATTGTGGCAATTATGACTACTGGTGGAGGGATAAGAGCCCTGACATCAATGTATGCTCATATGCAGACTATCCAGAAGTTGGATATTTTGGACTGTGTTTCATACCTCACTGGCTTATCTGCCACAACCTGGTAAGGAAATGGGAAGCAAAAGATTCCTGCAGTCCATTTGGTCTTTCATGATACGGGATGTTTCTGGGTCTTAATATCTATAGGAAGTTGTAGGTTGCACGCATTTTACTCTTTTTGTTCCACTGATGTTTGGGATCAGAAAAGAATTTTGCTGAAGTCAGACTGTCATGCAATCTGTCATGTTTGTTTTACCTTGCCCTGCAAATTGGCTGACTTTGTGTGAATCTCCTTGTGCTATCTGTTGTACTGTTAGATGGAATCCCCCATCTTCTTTTATTCTGATTTTCTAATATGGTATGGATTATCTGAGGGAAATTGTCACTTAGAGAATATATTGCCAAGAGGCAAAAGGTTCTTTTCCACTGAGTAATTAGGAGGCAATAAACATTCAAGCAGTAAAAGAAAACAAGTCGGTTTTATTGAAATCTCTCTGGTAATGTCCAGAAAAGAAAGCAACAGGTCATAAAGAACAGAGAATATGCCCTTGCACCCCTTCAGCTGAAAGAAAGACAGTGGGAAGACTCCTAAAACAGGCCAACATGCCTAGTGCTGCTCCATGGTCCAGCCAGAGCCAAGGTTCAGTTCCCAGGGATTTATATACTATGTTAGGATTATATGATTTTCACCTGCATGTGTGCATGCATGTTTATCCCATAATTGACCTTAGATGGGAGTAATACATCTCAAGGCCAACTGATAAGTGATGTAAGGTGGCAAGTGTCCAGTAGAGATACTCCCTACATTCCAATATCAGGTGCATCACCATGGACATGAAAATAACCCACTCTCAAAGAGAAAAATAACAAGAGATAAAGGAATATTAAAGAAGAAGAACATGTTTTAAAGAGAGAACCTCTTCAGTGTCTGTAGCCTCTTCAGGTCTGGCCCTCAGGGCATCTTGGTACAGATGGAGTAATTACAGATGTATCAAATTACAATAGTTCTCTGCAAAGGACCACTCCAGAGGATTCCACCTTGTAGTGGAAAGTTGACCTTGAACTTTGGTGTGTTTTTTTAAAAAAAATCTTGCCTGCATATAGAAAACTATCATATGGTTCCCAATCTCAAAGTCCTCCTGCTCCTGACCCCATCCTGTTGTGTACCTCAGCACTTGTTTTCAAGAAGACGGACAATCAAAGGGCACTTTAACTCTACTTTGCCATCCTGGAAAGCAAGAAGAACTCTTGTCAGAGTGGCTACTTTGGAAAGTGAACTCCATGGCATTATACCCCACTGAGGTCCCTCCCCTCCCCTAATCCCTCCCTGCCCAGCCTCCTCCCACCAAAATCTCCAGGTACTTCGCAACCCAGAGCTAGCAACCCTGCTTGAACAGCACTATGTAAGCCTTGTTTTGGAATAAACTAGGTAATGAAATCTTAGAAAAAATCTTCAAACTGTCAGTTCCTTAAACATAGGGATGTCTCTAAATTATAAATTCAGTCATTACATATATAATCTAGTGAAATTTATCACATACAAGCAAGAGAAGAACATAGATTAAACATTTAAACCTGAACATATCACCCTTAATAATACCCTTTAAATGCCATATTTAACCTTTTTCTGTGCTCTGATCTGGATAGTCCAGGCTAGCCTGATCTCATCAGATCTTGGTCAGCCCTACTTAGTATTTGGATGGGAGACCACCAAGGAAGTCCAGAGTTGCTATGCAGAGGAATTCAATGGCAAATCACCTCTGTTAGTCTCTTGCATTGAAAACCCTATGGGGTTGCCTGAAGTTGACTGCAACTTGATGGCACTTTACACACACACACACACACACACACACACACTTTCATCTAAGTAATAACATTGCTCCTACAACCACCTAAAAATGACATGTTTGGGGTAGATTGACCGCTACCACTTTTATCCAATATACTTTTTTAGAAACGTAAGTACCTCACAGATAGTACTAATATATACTTTCAACAGCTGAAAGTAAAGGTTCCCCTTTTTCACCCACACATTCCATTATCTTCCTCTTCAATAAAAAGCAAACATTAGAGACAGCTAGGTTGTGGTTTATTGCTCTGAAGAACAGTATCACAGGTTCAAATGTCCAACCACAGTCAGGAGGCCCTCCTCCTTACTTCCTCCACCTGTCCCCATAAAGGTCCGGGGCCTGTTCCCAGGATTCTCTTATTGCTGCCTCTGTCCACTACACATTTGCCACAGGGTTAAGCTTTGGTCTAGGTAGGCTTCTAGATAGTAACTTGCCGCTCTCCGGGCCAGGAATGCTACCTCCCTATATCATTGAAGGGTCTGGTCCTTTCTGACCTCTAAAGCCCCAGGCTTTGCCAGCTGTCCAGGTTACTACCCTTGTCCGCTGGCTGTCTCTCCTCCTTCCCTTGCTCCTAGGGTTACCAACCTCAAGGCTAGGCATGGAGTTCTTCTAGAATTACAACTGACCTCCAACCTCCCCTAGAGGAAATGACAGCATCAGAGGGCAGAATTGATGGCATCACATCCTTGCTGAGCTCTGCCCTTTCCAGGCATTGCTCTAAAATTTCCAGGAATTTCCTCAAACCAGAGTTGGCAACCCTACTCAGGGCTGCCAAAAGCCACCATGAGCCCCCAGACAAAGATTCAACCTGCTCCCCCCCATATAACCCTGATCCAAACCAGTATCATAACATATCACTTAGCTTGCTGTTACCATGAATCTAATAAAAGAATTGGTTTTCCTGTCCATCTGTCCATTTATGGCAAGGCCAAAGTTGAAAGGCATGGGAATATACTGGCCCAGATGAGAGACACACACCCCCACGCTATTTGCAATGGAAACTAAGGATCTCTGTTTGTGGCAGGCTTGACTCATTAGAGACTCCTGTTAACTAAAGTGCACCCTCTCTTGGGTTGTCCCTGGGTTTTCCTATCACACACCTGAACCTGGGATACCACAGAGTATGAAAGTTGGACTTTCAGTTCAGTGGTCCTTAATTAAAACTCTTCCTTGGCAAACATGGATGAGTTTCTATCACTGATAAATTAATTCAGTGGGTGTCCTGGGAGAATTAGTGGTCTTAGTGGAATTCACATAGACTTCAAAAACTCAGAATATGGTCACAATAAAGTAATGACAGCAAATTTCAAAATATCTACATTTCCTATTACTCCTGTTCTGAACTCAAATTTGTCTTTATTGTGTTTCTTTCCAGGACAATGTCAAAGTTATATGATGATGCTAACTGGTCAAAGAATAATCTAGAGAAGCTAATCACTGATGCAAAAGGGCATGTGAAAAAAAACAAGTTCCTTGCCAGTTTTGCCCCAGAGCGTCTGAAATATTATCTAAAGGAACTAAAGCAGCGGCATCAAGAAGGCTACAGTGTATCTTTCACTGATCTGTGGGGGCTCATCATTGAAGCCATGCTACGTGATGGGGTATTCTTAGCAATCACTCTTTTTCTAATTTCTCTCTTTCAGTTAATCCATAACCCTGACTAAAGGCATAATCTTGCAAAATTAAAGCACTTTCAAGTTAGGGGTTCTATGCCCCCACTGACCATATACAGGATAATTTTTAGCTGTGGCATATGTCACAGAAGCTGACAAAACCTGGAATACCCCACCCTGTTTCAGTTGTTAACTAGTTTAGCATGATTAGGGAATGGTCTCAGAACCATTCTCTTTATTAGCTTTGAATTTTACATATTTGCATTTCTCCCTCTACTTCTTGCATTTCATGGCCTCTTGACTGTGCTGTTTTCCCCCAGCCCCCAGCCCCCTACATAGCAGGTATCTAATCATCGTGTCTGAAGAAGTGGGCTATAGTCCACAAAAACTCATGCTGTCATAAAAGTTGTTAATCTTTAAGGTGCCACAAACTTCCTGTTCATAGAAGCAGAAGTGTCAAAGACAGCAATCATGAATGAATTCCCAATTTTAAAACAGTTTTCATTCCACATATGTGTAAACAGAGGTAGTGACAAAATAGTCCTCGGGATTCCCAGCATGGTACTGAGGAGTTCTCAGTTTCCAGTATGGTGGCTACTATGCAGAGGTGACGTTAACTTTTATAGTTGGTGCATGATATCTGTAAAAGAGAGATGTACACAGCCAGTGCTTTGATGATTACTGTATATGCAATACATGCTTTGAACCTGCTCTGATAGTCCTATCCAATTCTTAGGCTTCTCTATGAAGAAATGGGTTGCTATGGGAAATTGTAATCATCTAATGTCCAGAGTTGTCCCATTTTTAGAAGAGGCATATATTTCAAAATGTATACCATGTGCATATAAAACATTTCTTTTCAGCAAGGAACCTTAAGCTGTGCTTGTTGAGAAACAAAAACCTTAATAAATGTTCATTTTGAATTGAGCATTATACTTTCTTTACGAACCTTCTTTATTTAGAATGACCAAATGCAGCAATGTAGGTTTGTTCCAGACATTTCATGCCATAGTCCAGGGTTCAGAATGCTAGAATTCTAGCTGCTGCAGCTAAGTATTTTTGCAGCTACATTAACTGTTTCCCCCAATTTTCACAAACAGGAAAATCCACATAAACTCACAGATCAGCAGCAAGCATTAACTCATGGCCAAAACCCCCTGCCTGTATACCTTTGTCTCAGTGTGAAGGAGAAATTAAGTAATCGGGGTTTCAGAGGTAAGAATCATGCTCCACACTTTTGCTAGCCTTTTAAACCTCAAGAGTTTTTACTGAGAGCTTAAAAAGTCTGACTCAGAAATACTCAGTGACCAATAACATTTGGTTTTTAATGTGATGCTCCTCTTTTTCAAGAGAACTAAAACTTTGGAAACATTATGAAAATAATACCACAACTACCTTCATTAAATTCTTGCCACTTATTTCATGTGCCTAGTTGTATGACGTGTATTATATTTTAATATATGCTTATTGATTTAAGACCTGGGCAACAAAATCTATCAGTTATTTTTGCTGTGCCTTATTAATAATGAAATTTCTCTTTATTGGTGAGTGACTACTGTAGCATAACTCTCTTATGCTTCCTTTTTAGAATGGTTGGAGTTCACGCCATATGAGGTTGGATTCCAAAAATATGGAGCCTACATTCATCCTGAACATTTTGGTAGTGAATTTTTCATGGGTCATTTAATTAAAAAAATCCCAGAATCTCGAATCTGCTTCTTGGAAGGTGAATTACTAATTAAAACACTGATGGTCAGGTACACTAAACAGGGTCCCCAGGTCTCCATGATGAATCAGTGGAGGGTGGAAGGGAGCCTTCTGGGAGTGGGGCAGAGCTCTGCCCAAACAGTGATGTTGCACAGTAATGTCCCAACACAATGACATCATGTGGAAGTGATGTCATCACATTGGGGATATTGCACAGCAACGCTCTGGTTTGAGGGCAAAACTCTATGGTAAAATCTGGGCCAAAAAGCAGGGGAACCCCCACCCCTGCCTGGGGAATAGGAACCCTACACTAAATGCCACTAGCACTCAGTTATTGAAACTTGGGTCAAGATCCAAAGGCACAGAATCACATGGCAGATTATTTAGATTTCAGTTTCAAAATCTGAACACTGTTCTTTTCAGTTATATCTGCTGCCTTTGGTGCTCCCACCATCTAAGACTAGATAGGTGGCAACCCATGAAAGAGCCTTCTTGGTCATGGTGCCAAAACTTTGGAACTCTCTTCCCAGGGAGATCTGTCTCCTATCATTGTCTTCTGCCAGGAAGTGAAGGTTTGGTTTTGTTTGGAATTCCCCCTCTAAGTGTTATTGGCCTTCCTCCATTGTTTTGATATGTGTGTTTGTATGTTGATATGTTTGATTGAATTTTTATATGCTTATATTTTAAATGTTATAATATCTTGATGTTTTAATGTTGAAATGTCTTTAGTATTTTGATTTTTGCCACCTTGGGGACTCTATTGGGGTAGAAAGATGGAATAGAAATGTTTTAAATAAATATATACATGAGTCTTCTGAAACAAAAATACACAAGCAAAGAGAGTATAAACAATACATTTCTGACAAGATCCTTCTGTATTAGGCTCAGAAGGCACTGACCTGACCCTTGTCATGCACCAGTTGAATGCTGGATTTTCCAGCTCCCAAACATGGCCCAGAACACGGGCTCACCTCCTCCTACTCCAGTTTCTGAGGCCTCAGGATTGACCCTCCCAGGCAATGCTGTTACCTTGGCTCACTGCAAGTGTCCCTGTTTCACTGTTCCTAGGGCAAACTAGTGCCTCCCTTTGCAGTCTTGTCTGCTGCCTTGGATGTCTTCCCTTGTCCAAGCTGACACTTGGACTGTCCTTTCCAGACCATCACCAGGAAGGAGGGAATTTAATAACCTTCTGGTTGACATAGGAACTAGGGTTAACAGGTCCCCCCCAGTCACCAATGGGGGATGGGAGGTAGAGTTGCCAGATCGAGGTTGGGAAACTCTTAGAGATTTGAGAATGGAGCCTAGGGAGGACAGGGACCTCAGTGGGACACAATGCCATGGAGCTCACCCTCCAAAGCATCCATTTTCTCCAGGTGAACTGATCTCTGTAGTCTGGAGATGAGGTGTAATTACAAGAGGTCTCCAGGTCCCACTTGGAGGCTGGCATCTCTAATGGGAACGTCTGACAGAGCCATATGAACATCTGGCTGGCCACCAGCTCCACATACTCACTGAAGAGCTCCACAGAGTACACATCCTGGCACACTGATCATAACTATGTGACTCTACCATACTCAAAATATTGGGAACATGGTATATGCATTCTTCTGCAACTCAGGAGATGACACACCTAAAGCATGTTAATGGCATAATTCACCTATAGCAAACACATTTAAGTTGCCTTTAAATCTTGGTGCTTAAAAGTTCTTAAATATGACTGGCTTGTGCCCTCAATTTTTCACAAGAACAACATGCAAGATGTCTTCTGCTTCTGTTGATACCAGCATGTAGATTTTTCTCATTTTGTTGCAGTTTGCATGGAGTCAAGCAGAAAATATAAAATGCATTTGCAATATCTACCAACAATGTAAAACAAATGACAATAGCTTTAAAAGTGCAAATGTTGAAATCTTATCAAAATTAGAGAATGCCCCAGTCGCTTTGTAGTGGTGGCAACGGCCATCAAGTCACAGCTAACTTATGGCACTCCGATAAGACTTTCAAGGCAAAAGACCTTCAGAGGTGATTTCCTATTGCCTGCCTCTGCATAGCAACTCTAGACTTCCTTGGTGGTCTCCCATCCAAGTACTAACCAGAGAAAACCCTACTTAGTTTCCAAGATCTGATGAGATCAGGCTAGACTGGGCCATCCAGCTCAGGGATTTGACTCATAGTTAAATGTCATTTTAAATTGCATCATATGCCATGTTCCTTTTTACCAGTAAATGGTACTGTTAATTCAGAATGTAACTACAAATTTAATGTCTAGTATTATTTCATTTGGTGTGTTCATGTGTGCTTCACATACAATGTCTCTGTTTGGCGTAGTGGTTAGGAGCATGGACTCTAATCTGGGAGAACCAGGTTTCATTCCCCACTCCTCCACATGCAGCTGCTGGTGTGACCTTGGGCAGTCATAAATTCTTTCAGAGCTGTTTTCTCAAGGGCAGTTCTCAAGAGAGCTTTCTCAGCCCCACCTACCTCACAGGGTGTCTGTTGTGGGGAGGGGAAGGGAGAGAAGATTGTAAACCGCTCTGAAACTCCTTCGGGTAGTGAAGGTCAGGTTATAAATCCAATCTCTTCTTCTCAGTCTCTAATAGTCTTGTAAAATAGGCCATCTTCATCTTCAACATCATCATTAGAAGAATTTAATGATTATGCTGCTGATAATGGCCAAGACAAGAGCAACTTGCCTGAAATCCCCTGGAGTTCATGGCTGGGGCGATATTTGAACTAGCAAATTTCTGGTTCACACATTCTTTAGTTGATACACTAAACCAGCATCTCTGACATAGGCCTTAGGATTGTTTTAATGCTTGCCAGTGTTCTTAGCACTTTACATAATTATCCTGTTGTCATTCTTGTACCAACTCTATAAAATAGATTGCTATTATCCCCATTGAGGGGCTGTGGTGGCTTAGAGGTTAGGATGCTGAGCTGCAGACCAGAAGGTTGGTAGCTCGGCAGTTCAAGACCCTAGTGCCACATGATGGAGTGAGCTCCCATCTTTGGCCCCAGCTCCTGCCAACCTAGCAGTTCGAAAGCAAGAAATTGCAAGTAGAAATTCCCACTTTGGTGGGAAGGTAACAGCATTCTGTGAACCTCGGCGTTTAGTCATGCCGGCCACATGGCCATGGAAAAAGTCTTCGGACAGCACTGGCTCTTCGGCTTGGAAACAGAGATGAGCACTGCCCCCTAGAGCTGGATTCGACTGGCTTTTGAGCAAGGGAAATCTTTACCTTTACTATTCCCATATCGTCAGGGTGGGGGACTGACAGAGTAGCTCACCTAAGACTGAGAACATTCAGACCAGGGACTTCCACCTCATAGCCCAGTTTACTGTGGTACTTCAGCTGGCTCACAACGACTTTATGCTTCTCAAATAATTTTTTCTGCAGTTGACTGAGAAGCCAAGTTCACAGGAACAGGGAATGATCACCTTTTTAGCAAAAATGTTTATTTTAAAATATTTCCCAAATGTCTTTGTTCTCCCTATCACAGGAATCTGGAGTAGTGTGTTTTCAGTTAATATCATGGACGGCTGGTTTCTGTCTGTTAGTTCGGATGATTTTTGGCAAAAGTGGACACAAGACCGAATAACTGATATTGGCAAGTTACTGTTATGTTTTGTTTCTGCTTGGTTTATGAGTGTAGACAGAGTGTCTGTGTGCAATATATATATGTATGTCTCACGGCTGTGGCATTTTGCAGTTTCTTTAAAGTACTACTGCAAAGAAACATTTCTTACATAATTCATTTTTGTGCCTTATACACAGTAATCAACAAATGCTTCCAAAATACAGCAAATTCAGAGTATGTAGTAGAGTATGCAACTACCTGGGTCTGCAGTCCAAATGTACACACAACAGGGACCTGCAACCAATGATAACTCTCTGAGTATACTTGTCTGAGACACATTTTGAAAGAAGCATTTGTCTCTTTTACAGTTTACATTTTTAAGTATACCCTTTATTTAGAAATCATAGGTGTACCCCCAAAAGGGTGAAATGAACCACAAACTGCTTAAAAAAAAAAGAATAATTCCACCAGCTAGGTTCTGAAGTTTGCTAAATGCTGTCTCCCCTCCAAAATCTGAAAGTATGTTCTTGGGTACAAGACCATATTGGTGCAAAATATGCTTTTTGTTTTCTGGGGAAAGGACCTAAGGACACCAGATCCTAAGGAAAAAGATGGTTTGTCCCAATATGCACAAGGATCGGGATATAAAAACTAAAGTAGGTAAACTGAGTAGAAGATTATGGGGTGGATTACCATGGAACACAGCCTGTGCTGGACCTGTTGATTGTTGCTGGATCAAATAGTCTACCAGAATCAGCATAAGTGTCGCAGAGCCTGTTTCTACACGAACAGCAATAATAGAGCTAATTCCCTCATAATAGTAGGTACTATTTCTGTGTAGTGTAGTGTTTGGATATGAACATACTCACTGTGATGTGGAAAAATGACATGATATACAATTTTGCATATCATGGCAATAGAGGACAGGAGAAACTATCATGTGAAGTCTGTTTCCAGCTTTCTCCACATGGTCAAGGCAACCTGCAGACCAGCCTTGAAAAAGTAACTTAATATTTTAGTCAAGTGGACCTTGTAGGAACCTGAGGTGTAATAAGGACAGGAAGCTTATGGGATTTCCACGTATCATGTAATAAATTATTGCTAATAAGAAGGACTAATGTTAAAACAATGATGCACTTACTAAGTGTTGTTTCTTCTGCAGATGACTATGTTTTGTATTCACATGTGAATAAACTACCTACTCTTATGGAGAGCCCCCCAGATAGTCTTGCTACTATTTTTCAAGATATTATCATGTGGCGACCAGCAGTTACCCAGGTCCACAATTTTTTGAAAGGCTGCCCAATGCACAACAAGTACCTGGAGAGTCAGCTTGCAGTGTGGAAAGGTATAGTGACAGCTCCTCTTTCAATGAAGTATGGAACAGATTGTACAGATTGAACAGCTGGTATGAACAGTTTATAAAGCTGTGGGAAAGCAGGAACCCTTTAAAGCCAGTTTGGTGTAGTGGTTAAGTGCGCAGACTCTAATCTGGGAAAACATAGTCTGTTGTGGGGAGGGGGAGGGAAAGGAATTTGTAAGCCACTCTGAGACTCCTCTGGGTAGTGAAGGGTGGGGTATAAATCCAATCTCTTTTCTTCTTCTTAAAAGGACTGAATATTGGCTATTCTTCCAGAGGGAAGGGTTTGGGCCATCAGGCTGTCTTTTATTCCCAGAGAAATAGCTATCATTTGGGGGTGGATTTTGAAGCCCTAGTAAAATGCAGTATGAGTATAGCGATTAAGAAGGAGAACTGCCTTAAAGACCTTGCATAGGCAGAAGGGCAGAGTTGGGGCGTTTTAAATAATTAACAGTGCATTCCCAAGCAGAGTTGCACACTTGAATTCAATGGGTGCAACTCTGTTTATGATTGTGCTTTGTGTTTCTTTATTTTCCCCACAATTAGCCACATTAACTATTGTTGATAAAAAAATTCATTTCTTTTAGACTGTGATCTGGACAATTTTCCTAACCAGCTGACAGGAGCTGAAGATCACCTGTATCTAGTTGATAATGCATTTGCCTTTGCTAGCAGCTATCCACCACTCATGAGGCCTGAGAGGAAAGTGGATGTCATCATACATTTGAATTACAGCTCAGGATCACAAATGATGGTGAGAAAATGCAAACTATAACTTAACTGCCGTGACAACCATAATCAGAATTTATGTGCTTTGAGAGTCAGTCACTGTTTTATGATATAAAGAGAGACTTGGTTGTTAAATTATACTTCCTATTCTTCCTTCAGCCACTTCCTCCTCTGCCAGCAGCAACTTCAGGGCTCTAAGAGGGGAAGTTTAATAAATCTTGTTTACTAAATACATGCGACCATCCCAGTTCTGATGAAAGTGAGATGTTTAAAGTGGTAAAAGTGAGATGAGAGAGGTATTTTTCACCCTTTATTTATTTTGCACCATGAGTATCTGAAAGTACTACTTACACCAAATCAGTCTCAGTTAAACCTTGGTCTTCTTGGAGAGCCAGTTTGGTGTAGTGGTTAAATGTGCGGACTCTAATCTGGGAGAACCGGGTTTGATTCCCCACTCCTCCACTTGCACCTGCTGATGTGACCTTGGGTCATTCACAAGCTCTGGCACAGCTGTTCCTGAAAGAGCAGTTTCTGTCAAGAGCTCTCTCAGCCCCACCCACCTCACAGGGTGTCTGCTGTGGGGAGGGGAAGGGAAGGGAAAGGAGTTTGTAAGCCGCTCTGAGACACCTTTGGGTAGTGAAGGGCAGGGTATAAATCCAATCTCTTCTTCTTGTTGTTATTTTTTATGCATCTTACCAAACAGAACTTAAATTTTTTTTGTGCATATGGTGTCTGCATTGTGAGCTAGTCATATTCTAAAAGTCATTTCTGCATAATAGGATTGCTTTTGAGCAATGCATGTCACTGTGCATCACAAGTATATAGGTGAGACATCACATATTCCCAAAAATATCCAGACTGCTGATATATCCAGCAGTCTGGATATTTTTTTGGGAATGTGTGTACACACACACACACGTTAGAATCGATCTATATCTATATACATGTTAGAATCTATTTTTAGTTTCTTTGTCAACTAGGGGTTCTGACATCTTGTTTGGATTTCTCTTCCTGTAATTACATAGCCCCTGAAAGAAGCCTCAAAGTATTTCTCAGAACAGGGAATCCCATTTCCCCAAAATATCCCACATGAAGAAAAGGATGTAAAGGAGTGTTACCTGACTGGAGATCAAGAAAGCCCCGAAACTCCTATAGTGGTCCTTTTTGCCTTAGTTAATGACACTTTCAAAGAGTACAAAGCACCAGGTAAGTCTCTGCTCTCTTTATCGCATTATCACTTACATAGTACAAAAGAAGACATGGAAGATTCATGATTGTATAGCCACATATTTTTAAGATTAGATCAGTCATGTGAGAAAGCAATTTGGATTGGGTCCACAGTGTAATGAAATGGGCAGTTAACCCCCACCCTCACCATTTGCTCTGAAAGAAATAATCCTGAGCTGTTATTAATATAATATAGGTTCCCTAATGGGGTTCCCCATGGAAGTTGATTTCTACCAAGGTAACAGCACAAGGGGAAAGGGTTACACCTCCCTTCTGTCATGCCAGGGTCTACAGCCAAATAGTGGCTTTTAATGTACTTAAAAATATTTCGAGAGCCAATCATATATCTCCCATATCTCCTCTAGTTGCACCCACTGTTCTCTATTTAGCCAGGTAAGAAAAGAACTGGGGATTGTTGGGATAAGAATATTTGCAGATGCATAGATGAGGGTAGGATGTTGGGAAACGAGATCGTACTTGGGGACCATAAAGGAACAGAACAAAGACAGTAAAGAAGCATGAAAAGAGCAGAATTTGTGCTCCAGGGTGTGCCAGCCCAAACAACTACATTCCATGACTTAGGTGATGAAATCCAGATTTCTTTGCAACCCTGCAGAGGATTTGGGATACATCTCTCATATCCCCTGCTGCTTTATTGGCATCCCTAAACATGCTACCACCCCAAGCAGCCATCTGAGCTGGTTCTGCGGTTGTGCTGGCTGTATTTTGGTGAGGAAGTCGTACATGTGTTCTAGTTCTATTGAGTTCTAACACAGATTTTGAGACAATATTTTTGGAGTCATTACGATAAAATATTGAGCTTGGAACAATAACAAGTCTTGAAGTCCAGCACAGCCATAGAAATTAGGAAAGAAAAAGAGAGAAGAGGAGATTGAATTTATACCCTGCCCTTCACTACCCAAGGGAGTCTCAGAGTGGCTTACAAACTCCTTTCCCTTCCCCTCCCCACAACAGACACCCTGTGAGGTAGGTGGGGCTGAGAGAACTCTGACAGAAACTGCTGTTTTTCAAGAAGAGCTGTGCCAGAACTATGGCTTGCCCAAGGTCATCCAGCAGGTGCAAGTGGAGGAGAATCAAACCTGGTTCTTCCAGATTAGAGTCCACACACTTAACCACTACACCAAACTGACTCTCGCAGCAAACTGGCTCTCTGAGAAACAGAGCTCTGACTCACAAAAGCTTATGCCACAATAAATTTATTTCTATTTAAGAAGCCACAAATTTTTGGCTGCAACAGGCTGACTGTGGGCAATTCTGAATTGGCTTTTCCCTCCGTTTTTTTACCAAAAGTGCAGCTCAAAACCACATTCAAATACCCCGGGGCAATGCCATACTGACTGAGAAGTCACCCCTGAATGGTCATAAATCTATGCAGAATGTACCTTAAACCCAATGATCAAAGAAAGTGAAAGCAGCATGCAATGCAGAGGGGAACTTCTGTTCCAACATGGGTTTGGTAAAACCACGGAGGGAAAAGCCAATGCAGAATCACCCACAGTTACCTCTTGAGAATGTGGTGTTGTATCTACGTTTCAGTTTATCTGACCTCCTGGACTGCAGATCAAAACCTTCTGGGAGCAGAGCAGGTTGGTTTCTGCACAGGCAGCACAACATTAGACCATTGCATAACTCTTGCCCACTTGATGGAGAAATATTCTGGAGCAGCCTGAAGAAAACTATTCAGTGCTTTCCTTGACTTAAAAAGGGGCCTGTGATTCAGTTCCCAGGAATCTCCTATGGGTTAAATTGAATAGAATGGGAATAGATAAATGACTACTCTTCCTTATCCGGAAACTATTCTCCTCTACTAGCTGCCAAGTAAGATATAGAAACTCAGGTTCACTAACACCTAAGATCCTCACAAACCGAAAAGTCAAACAAGGCTGCATTTTGACACCCTATTTATTCAATCTATTTTTGAATGACTTGGACTCCTCACTGCATGTGATTGACGGCCACTGCCCCAAACTGGGTCTCCAACATATGTCTCTATTACTGTATGTGGACGATGCTGCAGTATTGCCTTGTGCCCAGAAGGGCCTTAAGCGCCTTTTAACTGCATTTACATCTTACCACGAGAACAATTCCTTACCGATAATTTTTGAAAAATCTAAAATCTTGGTGTTCTCAAAATCTTGGAAACACTTTAACTGGTGCATAAATGGTCACACTATTGAACAGGTGAAATATTTTAAATACCTGGTGTTCTCTTCCAATATAGCAACAACTGGACAGGCCAGAGGAAACAAGCAATAAACCTGGCCAAATGCAACCGCAATTGTTAGGGTTTTTTACGCAAAGGGCAACCACTTCATCCCTGCTGCGGTACGAGTCTTTAATGCCAAGGTTGTGTCCCAAATTCTGGATCTGCTCCTTTAATCAACATGTTGAGCAGACCCAGGCAATGTTTTTGCGGCATATCCTAGGAGTGCCAAATTGTGTAAGCTATGTAGCCATGTGCCTGGAGACAGGAAAACATTTTCTTGGGACCAGAGCCTGGCTATCAACCTTAAAATGTTGGTTCATCTCCACTCCAGAACAAAATCCAATAGCTATGTTCACCTCCTATTGTCAGACACATTTACATCCAACTGGACAAACTTATTTCTGGAAAAAAATACAATCTATTGGCATTTCCCTTGACTCCCGACTTCTGTCAGGTGAATTTCAAATTTTTAGATCCTTGAGGTAGTGAATGTTCGATATTGAAAAGCTAACTCTCTGTTCTGGAATCACCTTTTCCACTCTGAAGTTTAACACAACTTCAAGAAATGGGTTTATAGCTGATAATTTTTTCAACTCACCGCTCCATCACAAAGATGAACTTTTATGCTAGCACGCTTTGATGCCCTACCATCAGAGATCCTTTATGGTAGATTTGCCAATACCCCCTACCTTGAAAGGACCTGCCCATGTAACAGCAGGAACCCAGAATCGATGGCTCACATCTTACTTGGCTGTGAATTTTATAGTAGGATTCAGGATGTTCTAATCAGCCCCCTCCTGCACAATAAGCATAGTCTATCTGAAGAGAGACTTATATCTTTCCTTTTATCAGATCTCTGCCCTCACATTACTTTCTCAGTAGTGCAATTTCTTTCTATCACTATGAGGGTAAGAGAATATAAGGTCAAAGCTCTGGTGGGGTGACTGTTTTATATTTACATACTTTTGACATGCATTTTAAAATGTGATTCATGCTGTATTTTATCTATGCCAATAAAGGTTGACTGACTGACTGGTTTCTGTTTATCTAATCTGTAGAAAGGAATGAATCTAATAGAGACGGCTTTCAGAACAAATAGATTAAGGATCACAATGTATTTTTCAATACAAATGATTAAAAACAGTAATATGCCTTGGCTACAATTAATCCATAAACTCTTTTTCTCCTCACCAAGGGATATCTTTATTTCCAAACAGCTTAGATATATACTGAGTTGTAATTTTGCATTCACAAAGACCCTTGTATGATACCCCATGAGAAATCTTAATAATTTAGTGCATGCTCAGCAAGATAGATGTTTGTTCTTGTTCAGCATCATAGAATGCAAGCATGAATTAGCTGAATTGGCAGAGTAAAATTGCAAAGCATCATGAAATGAAATGTGGTGGTGCTAAGGCCCCTTTGTTTCTTAATGGGCCATTCCCACTGTGATTTCTCCTCACCAACTTGTGCTTCAGGTATGTTCAAATAAGCATATACAGATCCCTCACTTCAGCAAATCCCAAGGCTAGCTTCCACAAACATACTATGAGGCAAGAAAGTGCAGCATACCAAAAACCTAGGGTTGCCAGGTCCCTCAAAGTCCCCAGTGGGGGACTTTGGGAGGGGCGATACTGGAGGGGGTGAGGAGTCCCCAGCATGATGACATTACTCAGAAGTGACATCATCACGTTGGGGAGCAGAGGCTCCCACCTCTCCCCAGCAGCATCTAAAGAGTCTTTTTAAACCCTGCTAGGGAGAGCTGGGGGGGGGAGGCCACATGCACTTGCATCGAAGCCCCGAAATCGGGGCTCACAGTGCAGGCCCACAGCCCCCGCCTCTCCCCAGCAATGTCTACGGGTCTTTTAAAAACCTGCTGGGGAGAGGTGGGGGTGGAGGCCACACGCACCTGCACGTCAAGCCCCAAATTTGGGGCTCAGACAGAGGTCATTTGGGGGGATCGCGGGGGATTGCAGTTCCCCCGGGTGAGGTGCAGGGGGCGGGGCACACGACGAAGCCCCGCCCCCTGCTTCCAGCCACCCCGCTTCCAGCCCTCATTCAGCCAGGAGGAGGCAGGAGAAGAGGGAGGGTAAGTTGCTTCCTCCCTGCCTCTCCCCACCCCTGCCTGCCTGGGGCCAGGGAGGGCCTTGGCGGGGCTTCCTCGCACTCCCGCCGGCCTTGCAGGTCCACCGCCAGGCCCCTGATGTCAGGGGTGTGGCATATGCTAATGAGTTATGCTAATGAGTTCCCCTAGCTCTTTTTCTACGAAATGACCCCTGGGCTCAGAGTGTAGGCATGCGGCCCCCACCTCTCCCCAGCAGTGTCTAAGAGTCTTTTTAAACCCTGCTGAGGAGAGGTGGGAGGAGGCCAGGTGGTTGCTCTTGGGGGTGGGGCTTCCCCCACCCACCAGCTGGCTGGTGGGTAGGAAGGAGCCCCTCCAAATCGGGCAACCCCTGCCAAACCGGGGGGGGGGGGTTTGGCAAGCCTAAAAAAATCCTAAACATCAGAACAAATAAAAATGTGGGGGGTTGCTTCCACATGGAGATTTTTCTCCAGATTCCCTCCAAAACGGCAGTGTTTTAGTTTCCACATGACATCATCATGCAATTGTTCACTTTCTGGATTTCTTTTTGCCTCATAGTATATTTTCCCCAATCTGCTTTGGTATGATCTTTCCAAAAATGTTTTACTCAAAGTAGGTTTAGTCAGAGAGTTTGGATAGGAAGGTATGGCTTTTCAGAACTCCATTGTCACATCCAGGACCATTTCCTCTCCGTTTGATCTAGCACCTGCCATTACCCACCCCTACCACCAGGTGGCTTTTGACAGTTTTTTAAAAAAATATTTGGTAGGTATATAGCTATGGTGTCATAACACTGTAGTAATATACTTACAAAAAAGTTGGCAAAAAGCACTTTGGCAGTGAAGGTGTGAGAGGAAATGGAGGAAAAGCACAGTGGATATCCCTGTGATGAGGCTCGTTGCAGCTATGTGAGTGCAACACGAAATTGTCCCCATGTAGAAGGAGCCGCTGTTTCACAAGACAGAAAGCAATATTAACAGTGCCATCCTAAGCAGAGTTATACCTTTCTAAGTCCATTGAATTCTCACTCTGCTGTGGAAACTCACTGGAAGACCTTGGGCCAGCCTCTTTGTCTCAGTCTAACCTAACTTATAGGGTTGTCATTGTAAGGATAAAATGGAGGAAGGGAGAATTATGTTGTGAGAAAAGTGGGGTATGAATATATAACCTGAAGTCAATGGGTTTAGGAAATTGTAACCCTTCTTGGGTCTGCAGTATCAGTCTGTGACGTGCTATATATTTTTGACATAGACTATCTCAAGATGTTGGTTTTTTTTCAGTTATAACAAGACCATCTTTTTCTTTAACAACAGGTGTGAAACGTAGTCCTGAGGAGATGGAAGATGGTAGACTTGATCTTACTAGTACCTTTGGCCCTTACAATATAAATGCTTTACGATATTCAGAGGAAGACTTTGACAAGCTGGTAAAACTGAGTCAGTACAACATAATGAATAACAAAGATTTGATTATTAAAGCCTTGCAGCTCGCAGTGGAACGGAAAAAGCAACATAAAAACAGTCTGCAGTGTAGAACAGATGAAGCATTTCAATCTGGAAGGAAAGGGAACAAAATCTAAACTGCAATGTAGCCCATCCACTGAATACTTAGGAGAGTGTTTAGCCTCTTCTATGGAAACAAACACCTGTGATGGATTTTAGAAAATTAGCTGGTCATAAAGGCAACAGTTCTGTCAATCACACAATATTGTTTGCTTGTTGCCAAGTGAGGCAGTGGCCAAATAAAGGATGGACACAGGACCACCTCTTCACCCTATAGAAGAAGAAGAAGAGATTGGATTTATACCCCGCCCTTCACTACCCGAAGGAGTCTCAGAGCGGCTTACAAACTCCTTTTCTCTTCCCCTCCCCACAACAGACACCCTGTGAGGTAGGTGGGGCTGAGAGAGCTCTTGACAGAAACTACTCTTTTTCAAGAATAGCTCTTATTAGAACTACAGCTTGCCCAAGATCATCCAGCCAGGTACAAGTGGAGGAGTGGGGAATCAAACCCGGTTCTCCCAGATTAGAGTCCGCGCACTTAACCATTACACTAAACTGGCTCTCTCTACACCAAATAGCTCTTCCCTACTGCCCTACTTCCCCTAGCATACACAATTAATTGATAAGCCTGTTCTATTTTTAAGTTTTAGGTCTTTTATAAATATATTTTTAATTGCTAGGAAGTGCTGTGAAGTTATGGTAGAAACACAACATATTGATTGTAGCTTTCAATGCTCTACACATTTTATGCATAAAGAAAAAAAACCTCACTCCTGAACAATCTGTTTCTGATGGATTTGAGTTGGTTGGTTTGCTTTTTTAAAGTATTATTTAATGGGTTCTGTGCAAACTATGTATGAACAAGAGTTAATTGCAATTAAATTGGTGCTGTTGTTTTTTAAAAAAATAAAATAAAATAAAAGTAGCTTGTGTTAAATTCTGTTGATAGCTCAAGAGTCTTCCTATGCAGGGATGGGCTTCACACTTGATGTGTGTGGGAATCTTCACATGAAGACTCCAAATTAGTTTTGCCTCAAAGAACCAAGCACCTGTTTGTTCTTGAAGGTGTGTGTGTGTGCACACGCAATGCATGGGATTTGGGATTATGTGTATCTCCCATTGCAGAGGTAATCAAAGTTGTCAGCGATTGCATTGCTAAACAAGGGTTGCCAGCTGTGGGCTGGGAAATTCCTGGAGATTTGGGGTGTGGAGCAGGGAGCCACAAAGTCCTCCCTCCAAAGCAGCCATTTTCTCCAGGGGCCCTGCCCTCTGTCATCTGGAGATCAGTTGAAATTCTGGGAGATCTCCAGAACCCACCTGTTGGTTGGCAATCCTACTCCCAAAAATATATTGAGTGTGTTGACAGCCTGTTTGCATGCATGAGGGTTTTGAAGACTGAGGACAAAATTAAGGTTATTTCCATATAGCCCCCGAGATAAAGATAATCCACACACTAAGTCTGTGTGACCACAGATCACATTGGCTGCATTGGGAGACATAAAATCAAATGGCTGACTCCTGTTTAAAATAGCTAGCACTATTTCTTTCCACATAATAGTGGAAAAGATGCATCCACCAGAATTTACCAGACTGTCAAAATGTTCTGTTTCCTGTCTTTATTCAGTCATTTCCTGAATGTGGAAAAGCTACTAGCACTATTTCTTGTGTTAGCAGACAATCTGTTTGATGTTGTAATAATTCATTTGATGTTGTAATAATTTCAATCTCATTCTTGCATATCGTATCTGAGGTGCCTTTTTCATGTCTTCTTGTTTCTTTATTTGTTCCTTGATTTGTGTGAATTTCTCAGTCTTTTGCTTTTTAATGTAAACTGCTTTTCTAATAATCCATCCTCTAGCATAGGCTTTAAATGCATCCCAAACCATTCTAATAAAAAACATCTGGTTGTATATTTTGTTGAAAAAACAGCTGGAATTCTTTTCTAGTTTCTGTTACAAATTTCTCATCTTTAAGCAAAAACGTATTTAAAGACCATCTATTTCTTGTTTTTTGGATGTCTTGTAAGGTAATCAAAACTGGGTTGTGATCAGCAAAAGTTGCTGGCAGTACCTCCACTTCTATTAGGTCATTTACGGTTCTTGATGATATCCAACACATATGTATTCTTGACCATGACCTGTGTCTTACTGAATAATAGGAGAAATTGTTTTTAATTTGAGTTCCTTACCTTCCCAGAATCTACCAGATTATATTCTTCTGCCAGTTGAAAAAAAGAGTTAGGAAGTTCATTTTCTTTTTTCTCCCCCCCCCCATTTGTTGTTTTCCTGTCTGCAAGTCTATCAAATACCGCATTGCAGTCTCCAATTAAAAGGATCTCACCAAACTGTTGTTTTGAAATAAGCTCCTGCAAGAGTTTATAAAAGTTTTCTTGGTGTTAGTTCGGTGCATATATATTCACAATCAAAGTTGATTTCCCTTTTCTTTGTACTTGAATTATCAAAATTCTACCATCTTCAGAATTATAAAGCATCTCCAAGTTTAGCTGTTCTTTCGAATAGGTAACAACACCTCTTTTCTTCTGTTCCTTATCTGATGAGATGAAAGCTTTCCCAATTTTTTTTTATTTTCCAAATATGAGTTTCTTGTAGACATATAACATTGTTGCATCTTTTTTTAGTTGTGAAAATATCTGTCTTCTTTTTTGGGGTGAATTCAATCCATTGACTTTTATTGAAATTATCTGGATTTTCCTTCTATCCATCATGCTGTTGTGTGTCTGTATCATCTTTGTTTCTTTGTTGAAGTCTTATAACTATTTGTGATGGTGGGGCCTCTTTCTTGGATTTCTTAGGTTTTTTGGTTGTTCCTGATGCTTCTGGTACATCCTGATTCTGGTCTTCTTCTTCCACGTTCTCAGAATCATCTTCCTCAACCTCTAACTCATCTTTGTAGGTTTTTAAAAAAACTGCCTTGACTATTGAGTTAATCCTGTATCTTTTCCCTTTATAGGTAAAAAGAATACCTTCAGGGAATAGCCATGATTTCATTTTTTCTCAAAATGTATGTCAAATCCATAAATGTTATTCTTTTCTCTCATACTCTGCATGGAATTTTTTCCAGAATTTTTATCTCTGTATTTTCAATTGCCAGTTTAAGGATCTTATCTCTTATCATTCTTTTATGGAATCTTATATGCACTTCTCTGGGTAAATTGTTTCTTCTTGAATAAGCTGAATTCATTCTATAGGCCACATCAATCTCATTATAGATTTCTTCTGCATTTGCTGTAGCCATATATTTTGCCAAAGTCTGTGCCATGAAGGTTTTTATATTTTTCATCTTTTTTTTCTGGAATATTTTGAAACCTTAGGATATACATTGCTTTATCCACTTCTTACCTTATAAGATCTTCCTTCATGGATTTCTGTTTAAAAGTCACCTCTTCCAGCTTAATTTCCATCTTCTCTTGCTTTTCTTGTACTTGATTTGTTTTTTTAAATATCTCAGTTGTTTCTTGTTTGCTTTCTTTAAATTGTTGTTGAATGTCTTCCATTTGATTAATCATCTTCTGCATAAAAGAGTCCACTTTAGTCTGCAGTGGTTCCACTGTGGCTATTATGGCTGTCTGAACAGCTGTTGTAATTTCAGCTTTAACTGTTCCAGCCATGGAGTCTTGTATAACAGATTGTAGATTTCAATGTAAATTGTGTCAGGCTGGCACCTACAGACTTGACTATCCCAGAAGAAGTACCCTGGGTTCTTTTTTATATATATCCTTTGGGTCCATTCCACTAGCCATGTTAAGAGTTCTTTTTGTTTTCAATAAGAGGAAAAGGAAAAGTTATAATATCAAACAGCTGTTCCACTTACACAACAGTTCTTATTTATATTATCCCATATCCCAAATATTTTTCAGTGACTTCAGTGAAATAATCAGTCATTTACAAAATACCTAACAGATACAGTACTTCTGAGAACCAAACCACAAGTATTTTCAAAGAAGTCCAAACTTTATCAATTTGTTTACAAAAAAATGGTCACTACATTTTACTGTTTTCAATCTTGAAGTGTCTACAGGAATAGAATCCACAAGAGCTTCAACCCAAAGATGACTGTTTAAAGTTGTTTAAGCGTTTTGCCACTCGGACGCGTCCCATTTCGCTCTGATGGGGACGCACCGAGACCCAGCTGACGGGAGAAGTCCGAGTTCATTCTGGACCTCCCCATGGTCTCTGGAGGAGACCCTCAGCCTGGGGAGCTGAGGAGAGCCTCTTCCAAGGCAACGGCCAAGGAATTGAGGCTCCCCTTATCCCCGAAAGGTACCATCACCATGGAGCCAACATGGTGCTTAGAGACAAATGCCGGAGCAAGCGATCACGATCAAAACCTTTAAAAGCTTCCAAAAGATCTCCAGATCTTCAAATTGTGAGTTAAGCAACGCTCA